GTTGGGAGCCTATTCAGACTTTCTACATCCTCCTGGCTCAATCTTGGTAGATTATATTTGTCCAGGAATTAGTCTTTCTCATCTAGGTTTTCTTTTTTCTTGGCATATAGTTGTTCATACTATCCTTTAATGGTGTTTTGTGTGTCTACTATGTCTGTTGTTACATTGCTTGCTTCATTGCAGATTTGATTTACCTGGTTCCTTTCTCTCTTCTTAATAGCTTCACTAGTGGTGTGTCAATTTTGTTTATCTTTTCAAATAACCAGCTTTTTTCCTTTTTGAGAGGCTTTTGCTATAGGACACGTGTGCTCACCAGAAAGACAGAGAAACAGAGACAGAAAGCGAGAAATCACCCCCTGGGAGGGGATGGCCATGCTGCAATCCTGTCTCCTCCATTCTCCTCTTGGGATTTTGGGCATGCACGCACACACGCCTGGCATGAGTTTAAGCCACCAGGTCCAGGACTCAAACCACTGTCGACTACATAGAAGTTCAGTGACATAGCCATTACGCTAACTGCTGGTCCCAAGTATGAGAAAGTGGGAGGCACTGCTGAGATTCGAACCCAAGATCTCCTGTTTACTAGACAGGCGCTTTAACCAACTAAGCTATGGCACCCACACACTCCAAACCAACTCTTACTTTATTTCCTGTATAGTTTGTTTACTTTCTATTTCATTTATTTCTGCTCGTATCTTTATTATTTCCTTTCTCCTGGAGTTGTTTGTTTGTTTGTTTTTGCTGTTGCTTTTCCAATTCTCTGAGGCACGATGTTAGGTAGTCCATTTACCTTCTTTCTGCCTCCTTCTTATGTGCACTAATTGCTGTGAACTTCCCTCTTATGACTGCTTTAGCAGTGTCCCAATGATTTTGGAAACTTGTGTCCTCATTGTCATTGGCTTTCATGAATTGTTTGATTTCAGTCTCTATTTCTTCACTAGTTGTGAAGTCATTCAGGAGTCGGTTAGTTTCCATGTATTTGAGTATTTTTGAGGATTTCTCTTGAAATTAAAATCAAGTTTAACTCCATCATGGTTGGAGAAGATGCTGGATATAGTTTCTATGCCTTTGAATCTGTAGAGGCTTGCCTTTTGCCCTATCATGTGATCAGTCTTCGAAAAGGTTGCATGTGGGGGTGAGAAAAAAGTGTATCTCTTTGTTTTTGGGTGGAAAGTTCTATTATCTGTTAAGTCCATTAGATTTATGGTATCAGTTAGATTCTTTATGTCTTACCTATTTTTTGTCTAGATGATCTGTCCAGAGGGGATAGTGGGGTGTTGAGATCTCTAACAGTTAGTATGTTGCAGTCTGTCTCTCCTTTTAGATCTAACAGTCTTTCCTTCGTGTATTCAGGTGCTCCTGTGTTAGGTGCATAGATATTTAGAACCGTTATATCTTCTTGATCGATTGACCTTTTTACTACAATATAGTGCCTTTGTCTCTTCCAACAGTTTTTGTTTTAAAGCCTATTTTGTCAGAAATTAGTATCAGGACTCCAGCTCTTTTTCAGTTCCCATTTGCATGGAAAACCTTTTACCAACTCTTCATTTTTAGTCTGTGTATATCTTTTTTATTTTTTTTTCTTTTTTTGAGAGGTTTTCACTATAGGGTGTATGCGTTCGCCAGACAGAGAGACATAGAGACAGAAAGCGAGAAATCACTCCCCAGGGGGGATGGTCACGCCGCAATCCCTTCTCCTCCATTCTCCTCTCAAGATCTTGGGCGTGCATGCACACGTGCCCAGCGTGAGTTCCAAGCCACCAGGTCCGGGACGCAAACTGCAGTCGACTACGTGGAGTCCAGCGACATAGCCATTACGCTAACTGCTGGTTCCCTTAGTCTGTGTATATCTTTGTCCATGAGGTGGGTTTCCTGTAGGCAACAGAGAGAGCATTTCTGTTTTCTTATCCGTTCAGCCAGTCTGTGTCTCTTGATTGGAGAATTTATTCCATTAACATTCAATGTTGTTATCAATATTTACAGACTTATCCTGATGTTTAAGTTGGCCATTGTCTCGGTTGTCTTTTATTCCTTTATTTCTAGCTGTTTATTCTTTAGTTTTCCTGGAACAGTACTCTCTTCAAGGTTTCTTGAAGAGCTGGTCTGGTGTTGGCAACTTCTTTTAGGTTTTGTTTGAGAAGATTTTAATCTTTCTTCCCATATGAAGGATAACCTTGAAGGATATAATAATCTTGATTGAAATTGTTTCTCTCGGAACCAGCAGTTAATATAATGGCTATGTTGCCATTGTAGTCAACTGCAGTACAAGTCGACTCCCATGTAGTCGACTACAGTACAAGTCCCGGACCCGGTGCTTTAAACTCACGCCAGACACGCATGCATACATGCCTAAGATCCTGAGAGGAGAAAGGAGGAGAAGGGATTGTGGTGTTGCCATGCCCCGGGCAGTGATTTCTTTCTGTCTCTCTGTCTCTCTCTGTCTTTTTGGCGAGCACACCCACCCTATAGCAAAAACCTCTCAAAAAAAAAAAAAAAAGTTTCTCTCTTAACACTTTCAATTCGTCTCCCCATTCTTTCCTTGCTTGCATTGTTTCTGTTGAGAGGTCTGGTGTTAGCCTTATGGGATGACCTTTGTAAGTCATTTGTCATTTCTCTCTTGCCAGTTTTAGTATCTTGTCTTTATCTGTGGTCTTTGCCAATCTGGTTAAGATGTACCTTGGGGAAGAGCTTCTTAGGATGATTCTATTTGGGTCCTTTGTATTTCTTGGGTCTGGATATTTGAGTGCCTCTCTAGACTTGGGAAATTTTCTTCCAGGATTTTATGGAATAGGTTTTCCATGCCCTTATTAATTTCTTCACCTTCTGGGATATTGATTATTTGGATGATTGGATGCTTAATGGAATCTAGTATTTCTCATATATTCTCCTCGTGTTTTTTTATCTGTTATTTTCTCTATCTTTTTGGTGTTTTTTTCTAGGTCAGAGGTTTTATCTTCTATGTTGGATGTTCGCTCTTCAGCATGATCTAATTGACTTTCAATACTTTTGAGAGAGTTTTCGATTGCCTGTATTATAGACTTCATCTCTAATAGTTCCTTCCGAGAGTGTCCATTTCTTCTTTCATATCGTGGAAGGACTTCCTAATCTCCTGTAGTTCATTGTCTCTTTTCTGTTCCAACTCAAAGAATTTGTTTATGTTCTAAATTCTTTCTTTGACATTTTGGAAACTTCTTCTCTCTATTCAAGAGATGGAGGAGAGTTACTGTGTTCTTTTGATGGAGACATAGTTCCTAGTTTATTCAGACGTGAAGCTCTTCTACTTCTAGCCATTGGGAGATGTATTCTCTTTTTTTTTTTTTCTTTTTTTTTTGGAGAAGTTTTTGTTATAGGGTGTGTACACTCACCAGAGAGACAGAGATACAGAAAGAAAGAAATCATCCCCCCAGTGGGGATGGCCACGCCACAATCCCTTCTCCATTCTCCTCTTGGGATTTAGGGCACGTATACACATGCACCCAGTGTGAGTTTAAGCCACTGGGTCCAGGACTCAAACCACAGTCGACTACATGGGAGTCCAGTGACATAGCCATTATGCCAACTGCTGGTCCCTCGGGTTATGTCTTGATGTTCATACTTTTACATCTTATTATCTGACAGTATTTCATTCTTTCAATTTTCTGTGAATTGATGTGTGCTGAAGTCTCTCTTCTGTTGTGTCTATTAGCAATGTGGTCTCAAGAAGAGTATTCTATTCAGGTGTCTGAAGAGCAGAATCTCCTTTTTCTCAGGTGGTTCAGATAAAGGGAAGATCCCAGGGGGCCTTACTAAGGTATTTCAGAACTGTGATTCAAGACCTGTCTAGTCCCTTCAGGAGGGTGGAGGATGAGGAGAAGAGGACAATATGAGAGGGAAGAAAAGAGTACGAAGGAGAATAAAGAAAAAGTCGTGCACTAGTGGGCACGCAGTTTTATTAAGGGGGGTTGTAGCTGGAACTGGGGCTCTGCTGGAGAGTGGAAGCTAGTCTGTGGGGCAAGGAGGAGTAGGATATTAACAAAAGAAAGAAGAAGACAAAAAAAAAAAAAACTGCCTACCTTTCTGAGAGGAGAGTGCTGTGGGGTTGGGAGAGCTAGCTGGAGCTGGGACTGGGGCCAGTAGTGGCCCTGCCTCAAAGTCCCTTGCCTAGCCATGGGGCTGGAGATGGAACTCAATTATTTTTTTAAAAAAGAATTATTTAATTTGATTTACTAGTTATTGTTATTATTTTTTAATTTTACCAAAGAGAGACATGGAGAAAGAACCTGAAAGTGAGAAAGCAAGCCACTAGGTCCAGGACTTGAACCGTGGTCAACCTGTGTGGGAGTCTAGCCCCATAGCCACCATGCTACCTGCCAGCCCCTTTCCTACAGCATTTTAAAAAATTATTCATCATCAATAAAATTAAACAAAAAACTAGATCCTAGGCAATTGGAATGTTCTTTGGAACTGAGGAAGCTGGTATTTTCAGATCTTTAACTGATGTGCAGAATAGGAAAGAAGCATGTACTCTGGTAAGAATCCTGTTCTCGTGTGTGAGGTGATTAGGACTAAGCTCTGTTTTGTCTCTACCAAAGATAGAAATTCAAAGGGATTTCATTCTCTGAAATCTCTTGTTTACTAATCTTCATTGTCACTTTACTCAGTGTTCACTATACTCTGTTGTGCTCATCCATTTTCTCATTTTCCCTATTTCTTGAGAGAAATAGGAAACTGTTTCCTGACTCTAGGGTATCAGTATACTATGAATTTTATTTCACTTTTTTTTTGGTCCAGTTATAAGTGTTAAATGCCATTACCAGTTTCTTCTCCCTGTTTTCACATAGCATGTTTGTGTTTTCTACCCAAACCAATAGATTAAAGGAAATACATAGTTGGAGTCAGTTGACATGAGGAAACTGTCTAAAACAAAAGAACTGACTATATAATAATAGGGCATCTATGTAGAAGTCAGTTTCATCAGAAATGATATTCAGATTCATATGATGTTATTTTCTCATTTCTAGAGAGGAAATGGAAAACTGGTGACCGACTAGAGAACAGCCAGGAAAATCAAGATGACCATTTTTGGCAGCTTGTATTCACCAATAATAAAGCAGTAAGTGTAGAAAATGGTAATAGACTAAGGAAAACTTTCAGTTTGAGCACAGACCCTGCTTCCTCAAGAAACTTAGCCTATAAAATATGTGACTCATGTGAAATGAATTTGAAAAACGTTTCAGGCTTAATTATTAGTAGAAAGAACTGTTCCAGAAAGAAGCCAGGTGAAATTAATGTATGTGAGAAATTGCTCCTTGATATTACACATGAGAAAATTCCTGTTGGAGAGAAATCTTGTAAATATAATCAAAAAAGGAATATCCTCAATAATCATCAAGATCTTACTCAGCCAGTTTTTGATCAACCTTTTGAATATAATGAGGAGGCAACCTTTTTTACAAATAAGAGATCTCACATAGGAAACACTCTCTGTAAATATAATGAATGTGAAAGAACCTTGATTGAAAACTTAAAGCTCAATGTATCTCAAAGCACTCATTTGGAATTGGAGTCTTGTGAATGCAGTATTTGTGGGAAGTCCTTTTATATGGATTTAAGATTTGGCTATCAAAGAACTCTTACAGAAGACAATCCTTATGAATATAGTGGATATGGGAACATCTTCTGTGACAATTCAACTTTTATAATCCATCAGGGAGCTTACACAAGAAAAATTCCCCATGAATATAAGGTGAATGACAAAACTTGGGAGAAGTCAACCCTCTTTAAACATCAGATAGTACACATGGTACAAAAACCATATGAGTACAGTGGAAATGGAAATAATTTTAGGAAGAAATCACATCTTACCCAACTTCGAAGAGGTCACTCAGGAGAAAAAACCTTCGAATGTGGTGAATGTGGGAAAACCTTCTGGGAGAAGTCAAACCTTACTCAACATCAGAGAACACACACAGGAGAGAAGCCCTATGAATGTACTGAATGCGGGAAAGCTTTTTGCCAGAAACCACACCTTACCAATCATCAGCGAACACATACAGGAGAAAAACCCTATGAATGTAAGCAATGTGGAAAAACGTTCTGTGTGAAGTCAAACCTCACAGAACATCAGAGAACACACACAGGGGAGAAACCCTATGAATGTAATGCATGTGGAAAATCCTTCTGTCACAGGTCAGCCCTAACTGTACATCAGAGAACACACACAGGGGAGAAACCTTTTATATGTAACGAATGTGGAAAATCTTTCTGTGTGAAATCAAACCTCATAGTACATCAGAGAACTCACACAGGGGAGAAACCTTATAAATGTAATGAATGTGGGAAAACCTTTTGTGAAAAATCGGCTCTTACTAAACATCAGAGAACTCACACGGGGGAGAAACCATATGAGTGTAACGCATGTGGAAAGACCTTTAGTCAGAGGTCCGTGCTCACTAAACATCAGAGAATACACACAAGGGTGAAAGCTCTTTCAACATCTTGAATGTCCCGAAGCCTTTGTATACTTGTCAAATTTGTTATACAACTCAAAGAAAAAAAAGAAATTAGAGAAAGCCAAAGAATGCCACAGTTAGAAAACGCTATCTTATTTGAATATGTAAACACTTTTAAGAAAATTTAAACTTTTTGTAAGAAAACTTACAGAGAGGAAAATCACTTAAGCAATGTAAAAATCTTTACCTAGGACTTATCTAAATGTAATACCAAAATTTTATTGTAAATATAACAGACAGTATTTATGCCCATATTCACAGTGGGATCTAAAGCTTAAAAAATGTCGAATGATAACAGTTAATCATTTAAGTGAAGAGCTCCTGATGTTTGTAAACCTTACGTGAGAATGTTAATGTAACCAAACTTTGTATGTTGAAGCCCAATGTGGTTGTGAGGAGAAAATAGGAAATTTTAGTTTAATAACTATTATGGTATATGTTAATATTTTCCACACTACATGCCACTAGTGTCTTTTAAGGTTGATATTGACTATGTATGTACATATGTATGTATATATATTGTCTATATGTAAATATATTCATACACACATACTTACACATAGCAATATGCTAGCATCACCTCATTCTGACTTAAAAGTGGTGCCAGTTGTGAGATATTTACACATTTTATATGCCAGTTAAATGTCATTATTTAACATACACTTAAAATTGAATTATATTAAGAACAAAGGTAGTAAATACTCAGTACTTACCACTTCCTAGTTATTTTGCTATGTTTCACTATTATCTTTGTTTTGGTTACTTACGTTATTAAATCTATATGTTGAAAATGGCATGCTACTTCACATCTCTTCCCAACTCTACATTCAGCGACATCATACTGGTATCTTGGATTTAGTGTAAGGAGTATTTATACCATGGGAATTGGCAAATTCTACAAATCGGGGTTCTTATTTTCTCTCAGAACCTGTTGTCAAATATTTACCTGCACACCACTGTGTGTATATATGGAAATGTATCTGAAAGATTTAAAGTGCAACCTACATACCCCTTTTTTATTTCCTTACATAAATAAATTGCTGTTGTTATTATTGCCAAACTACCTGTTCAGTAAAGCAGCCAACAAATATTTTTGTGAGGTTTTTAGCCTCTGAATCAGTTCTATTCTAAATATTACCAGAGTCTATAACTTGACCATTATATGTTTTGAGTGAGATACTATTTTACAAAGAGCCATATCGCTTACTTTTCCTCTGTTCCTTGGTATATTTGAATATGGCCATTATCACCAAACTGCTGCTTCAATAAAGATGTCAAACAGTATTTTTCTGAATTTTTTCAGCTACCTCTGGATCAGTCAGTAATGTAAATGCTGTTAATAGGGATGATATTTACATAAATTATGCAGAGATTAACATCAGTTATAAATAATAGTACTCCCCGTACAAGACAAATAAAAAGTGGTGATATTGTAATGATATTACCCTTTCATACTCTTGGTATTCTATTGTGGTATCTAGTTAGGCGTGATTATGTAACGGTCATTCTGTGTAAGCCAGAAACTGTGTTTGTATTTAGTATTGTAGAGTGTCATATAGTGTTGTTTGTTTTGTCCTATTCCTATGCTTCCTTGGAACACATTGGTAAGCAGTTCTAAGAGGCATTTCCCACCCAGGATATTACCTACTTCTTTCTTACAGAGCTAAGTTTTATCGCTTTGGCAATCTAGATGATTTAGGAGTACATTCACAGTAATGAAAGCTAATCATGAAAATTCCATTCTAATGCTCTTATTGGAGAAAGCATGTAAACAATGAGATATTGGGGAAATATTTTACACTATTTCAGGGAAAGATCTCCATATTATCGTGATATGAGAAGATGTGAGAGACAGAAGAGATTGTCCCCCTTCTGCTGGACTTTTTCATGTCTGTATGTTATATGGCTTATAGTTTTTAGCCTTGGAATTTGTAGCCTGAAGATAACTGTACAAGGTGTGAAAAAGCAGCTCGGAGGTGACTGCCCTGAGTCGCTCAATTCTCTTTACACTCTATTGGGACTGTGCATTACCTGTTGTAACAGTTGAAAGCATCCTAGCCAATACACAGGAACACGTTTCTAAGTGTTAATGTTCTCTTTACAGGGATGGTTGTTTGTATCAGCCATGGTTCTCTGTGGAGGAAATACAGAATTCTCCAACTAAAAAGATGTTAATGACAGACTTATTAAAATAATGTGGCCCTGAAATGAGAGCTACTGAAATCTAAAGACTAGCATTAGCAGGAAGCTATTATCATTGTGAGGCTTCAGGGGCAAGACAGAAACACCAGAACCCTGTGTGAGCTATTGTGGCCACCTCGTAGGAGATGCTATTGGTACCAGAATTGTGGCACCAAGTTGCTGGTACCTCCCTTTGGAGAACCCAACCGGATGCATCAAGCAGGACAGCCCAGGTAGACAGAGAAAGGGGCAGAGAAAATGGAGAATACGCAGCACAGTGTTTCTTATTTCTGTAAAAGGCTCAGCCTTAGGACTAAAATTATTCTGTTTGAAAGTTACATGTTTTTTCTTCATTGTGCTTTCATATAAGCATAAGTAAATTCCCTTTGGAACCAAGCACTGTGGCATGTGAGAAGCACTTTTACATGTGAGAAGCAGATGTTTAAATTGCATTATTCATACATCTCTCTGTGGTGTTCCTTGTTATGTGTGGTGTGAGATAAGCAGCTCTGTATAATTCCAGATAGCCAGTTGTCCTTGTACTGTTTGATTAATTCATCCTTTTTCTTGTGAATTTTTATCATTTACTTTGATATAATGTGTTATAACTACTGTTTTTGTCTGTTCAGTGCAACTTTTCTACATTCTTCCAGTAATAGAACCTATTATTACAATCACAGTGAGTGATGGAATTTATTGTACATGTGCCATCTCTTCCTGTTTTCATATTTGTATTGATCCAGGAATGGTCATTTTCCAGTATAAGAACTCACCCCGTATTTTTATTGGCTGGTCACCATAGACGAGATAATTTGTGTCTTCATTGTTGTCAGCAGCCATATCAAGAAAATACATTTGCTCTGTGACATGTTGAAAGTCAGCCCTCAACACAGAAAAGAAAATATATTTGCAAAGGAGATGATGATACATATTATAAAGAAAAATGAAAGTAGGAAACATTGTCAGAGGGATGGTTTGATTTTAGATAAGGTGGAAGGAAAAGACCTCACTAAAAAGGCTACTTTGAGGGAGGAGCCATGTGGATATCTGCAGGAAGAGAGTGTGTCTAGCTGATACATATGCATGTGTAACCTGCAATCCTGTTTAAGATTTTGTTTCAGGACACAGTACTTATTCTAGTTACCTGTAATGTGCTTTAATATAGTTTCTTTTGTACTGCATTCTATTAAAAGAAATCATTGTTCCCATATACTAAACTGGCTACACAGCAAATGGGTCATCCCCCAGGACACTACTGTGTAAAACCAGAACAGGAATTGATGAGTCATAAATTTATGCTTTCTGAAATGACTAATCACCACCATTGTCTGGAGATTATTTTCTTTTCTTTTGGAGAGGTTTTTGCTGTAGGGTGCACACGCTCACCAGAAAGACAGAGGGATAGAGAGCGAGAAATCACCCCCCGGGGGGATGGCCATGCTGCAATCCCTTCTCATCCATTCTCTTGGGATCTTGGACATGCATGCACACGTGCCCAGTGTGAGTTCAAGCCACCGAGTCTGGGACTCGAACTGTGGCCAACTATGTGGAAGTCCAGCAACATAGCCATTATGCCAGTTGCTGGTCCCGAGATTATTTTCTGATAAACTTCTAAGAGATCTTATTGGAATTGGGCCTATTTTATGTCTTGAACTTGTCCTCTACTTCTCTGGTATATCCCCCTCACTTTACACCAAGTTTGTACTTGGCACGGAAATGTAGAGTCATAGCTTCTGAGAAGGTTTAGCTCATGAGTATCTCTGATGCCCTCAACCTCTGATTGCTGCTACCAGTTGGAAACTGCAACTGTGATTACTCTGTACCTCTCCCTTGTGTCCTGAGGAAGATTTACCTCTGATTCCTCTATTTCCACAGAATCATCATCTGCCACTCAGTGACCAGACATTGCTCAATTACAGCCTGTTCCTTTTTATCAGGGGCATTTCTTTGTTCAGCCTGTCCCTTTTCTTAGGGCTTGCAGGCTTTTCCTTAGGACAACAAAGATCCAATGTCTATCCTAGATACAGCTTTATAAGAGCAAAGCAGGGGCCAGCAGGTGACGAGGTGGTTTAGACACTGGATTCCCACATGGTCAACTATGGTTCAAGTGCTGAACCTGGCAGCTTGAAAATCATTCCAGGCGTGTGTGCATGTATGCCCAAAGTCCAGAGGAAAATGGAGGCCATCCCTGCTGGAAAGTGATTTCTCACCGCCTCTCTGTGGCCAGCACATGCACCCTATAGCAAGAACCTAAAAAACCACAACCACCTCAGAGAGAGGTCGAGAAGTTATATTCTCCCATGACACCAGTTGGCGATAGTCAATCTTCTCAGGGTTTGATTTCCTCATCTATTAAACAGGAAGATCATCCTTTCTCCCACAGTGGACCTTGCCTTAAGCTTCCTTCCAGTAACACAAGCCAGAAATTCTCACTTTATCTACCTCCCAAAGGAAATGGAAGTCCTCAGAGATTAAGAAGCTCAGAATTTCTTGAACTCAAGCCCCTAATAAAGGAAATTCTCCACTTAGGGATCTCTGATCACATTTCTTAAACAGAAATGGAACTCGGGAGTTTGAGAGCCTGTGCTCATGTGGAGTGAGACTTCTTCAGCCTTCCCAGGACCGTTCTTGTGCTGATGTTCATACTAGCTGCTCATAAGGAAAATGAAATATGCTTTTGGAATTTGAGAGTATTCAACTCTCCCCACCTTACTGTTCGTTCACTACCCTAAAGTAACTTGGTTTTTAGTTTAATTTGGGTGTTTTTCCTTACATTGTAACCTATATATTTGTACCTATAGAGAATTAAAAATATACCAAAGTCTTATGGGGTATTTTAATTTTTACAGATCAGAAATAGAGCCAGAATAAAAATAAAGTCCTATATTATATACAAAATTAGAGGTGATGCCATTTCCAGATCATTTTTTTTGTTTTCTATAGTTAGATCATTTTAAAGCTGATATGGCCAGGAGTTTGCAGTGTATTTTTAATTACTATTAAAGAGAAACAAACGGACCAGCAGATGGCATAGTGGTTATGTCAACTGGACTCCCATGTGGTCAACTGCGGTTTGAGTCTTGGACCTGGGAGCCTAAAACTCATGCCAAGCACATGTACATGCATGCCCAAGATTCCAAAAGGAGAATGGAGAAGAAGGGGATTGCAGCATGTCCATCCCTCTGGGGGATGGTTTCTTGCTTTCTGTCTCTCCAGAGTGTACAGTGCACCCTATAGCAAAAAACCATTGCCCTAAGGGTGAACTGCTATTATTATTATTTCTGGTTTTGAGAGGCTTTTTAGATCATTTCTTTTGCGCAGATACTCAGTTATTACAGTTAAAAATGTCAAACTGGCAATGTCGATGATGAAAAACTATTTGAATATCAGTAACTTAACAATCATGCTCTGGAAGGCTGTGAAGAACTTTAACCCTGAATCAATGTTAGACTGGGCTCTGAAGCTGAAAAATGAAGCAGGCAGCTCCTGAAGACTTAACAAAAGTTTATCATCAGAGGGTAACTTACCAATGGAAGAAAGCAGTATTGAGTGGGGCACGATCCTCACACAGCCATAGCTGCATGCTTTGTAACCTCCCATAGTAAACAGGAACTTTTTAAAGGTATATCATAAGGGCTGAACAACAGGGGTAAAGTTTGGGGAGAGCAAGTGATGTGATTGGTATGACTGCCCCAGGTCCAAGATAGCCTTTCAATGATCAAAGACCACTGTATCAATGGGATGCAGACCAGTGCCATAAGCTGTTATCTTAGTTAAAATGACTGTCCCATTTAAGAATTTGTAGAGGATTCATTCAAGCAGAAATTCCTGCTCAGGGCTAGTAAGGGTCACTCTAGAGTGGGGAAATGTGAAGGGTACAAGATGGCATTAGTTCTCAGAAAATGGACTCAGTCTAGTCCATCAACATCAACACCATGCAGTTAGTAATGAAAAAAAAAAACTCAGAAAATATAAATCAAAATCACTGATGTTACTTTATATTATAAAATATATTTTACGTTTTATAAGACATTTGCCAATAAAGATTTTCAGCGTATATTATACAGTGAGGAGATTGTCACAAAGCATGATGTCCTTTGTAAAATCGTCAAGAGTTTATACAGAGAGGAGGGATCAAATGCAGTATTTCCTTTTGGATTTTTTTTTTTGGTATATATTTTTTAAAAATTTACTACAGGACATGTGCATTCACCGGGTTGGGGTGTGTGTGTGTGAGAAAGCATCCCCCAGGGGTGATAGCCACACTGCAGTCTCTTCCATTTTCCTCTTGAGATTTTGGGCTCACACATACACACCCTATGTGTTTTTCAAGCTGCTGGTCCTTGAACCATACAGTCAAGCCATGTGGGATCTAGCCGCCTTAACCACCACACTACAAGCTGGCTTAATATTTATTTTTTATATTGTTTGAATTTTTTTCTACTTTCCTTTAATATTTATGTACCTTTTCCAAGATAACATATCTTGCAACCTGGGAAAATCCCTGATAGTCATGCTTATAATACTTTATGGTTGGTCACTATATTCAGCTTTATGTAAACATTTTTATATTCACAAGTTAAATTGATATACAGTTTGTAGTAGCTTTTGCCTATGTAGACAAGGAGTATTATTTAAGACGACTTCTGAACCATATCCATTAGGGTCGTGAAAGCAAGATCTTCAAAAAGAAGAGATTATTTTGGACAGCACCAACTTATTTCACCTTTTGGGATGATCGCTAAACAAGGCACTATAGAGGCTAATGGGACATTGTGGAAGAAGAAATCAGTTTTTCCTACTCATGATACAGATCTGTGATCTGAAGGGATTTTTCTCCCCACGAACAAGCAAACAAGCAGTTATTCAGCGAAACATCAACTCCAGTGGACATTGCATCAGGTCTGACAGGTTGAGAGCTCCGTCTCATGAAATTGTCTCTAGGCAGTTCTCACAACCACTTCTTTAGGTGCAATTAATTTGCCAGAGTAGCTGACAGAACTCAAGGAAACATGTCAACTGGTTTATTATAAAGGATAGATATTTTAAAGAATACAAATAACTCCCTGTGGAGTTGAGGTGCACCATTCTCCCAACACATGAGTAAGTTCTTATTTACCTTTCTGTAACCCTCTGTGTATTCAGCTATCCCAAATACTCCTATCTCTGCCCTTTTGGATTTTTTATGATAACTTTATTGCAAAGACATGATTGAAGCATGGACAACTATGTAGAAATGTGATTTGATAAAAAGGGTATAAACTAATGTTTAATAGACTGAGTGTGGAAACCCAGCAAGACCTGTCCATATTCTTAGCTCTCTGTGCAGCAATGCTTCCTTCTGGATATGGGACAGGACCCTCCTGGAATGAGGATCTCAATTTCTTTATGACCAGCAGTAAGCCAGTGGGTGGCAAGGGAAGATTACAATATTCTTAGACTTTATGAGAAACCTTAGGGAAAAGAGATTTTGAATTCTTTGGCTTGCCTTGGGGAGAAAAAGGAGCAGGTGAAAGGAGGGAAGGAGATTTTGCCTTTTCAGGCCTAAAGCACCTCAACATTACAACAAAAGGCTATTGTTCATATTTATTGCTCAGAAGCTGTTCCAGAGCTGCCTCAGGAACCAAGGACAAAAGGCCAAATTAATTAATTATTTTTAGTTTGCTACAGAGTGCATGTGCTCACTGGAGAGAGACAAGAAAAAGAGAGAGGGAGGGAAAATCAGAAATCCCCCCCTGGGGGAATGGCCATGCACAGTCCCTTTTCCATTCTTATCTTTGGGATTTTAGGCATGCAAGCACACATGCCCAGCATGATTTTCAAGCCACCAGGTCTAGG